GGGGGGCTCTGAGGGAAGTGGGGGGCGATCTGTGAGGGGATTTGAGGGGGGTGGTCTGTGAGAGGCTTTGAGGGGTTCTGGAGCTTGTTTGTGAGGGAGAGCAGCAAGGGAATGTTTTTAAGGGGTCTGCAGGCTCTTAGAGGAACTGAGGATAATTGAGGGGCTGTTTGTGGGGAGATCCTGGGAGTATTTATGAAGAGTGGGGCCATGAGGTGTGTGTTTGGGGTCTGTGGGGTAGCAGTGGGAGAGTGTGTGTGAGGGCCGAGGAGCTTTGGGGAGGTTTTGAGGGGCTGGAGCATGGGGCTAAAGCCCTGGGGCTGCTAGGGGCTTGTGTTGAAGGGCTCCTTAGGGGAGCTGGTTGTTAGGGGGGCCTGGGGGCACCGAAGGCAGTTTGAAGGTGCTGAAGGCAGAGTGGAAGTCATGGGGCTATTGTGAGGAACAGAGGGAAGGTGGGAGCTGTTCCTGAGCAAAGGCCTGAGGGGATCTGGGGACATCTCTAGGAGGTTTGATGGTGTCCTGAAAGGAGTAAGGTGGGTTTTGGAGACAGCCTGACATGGTGGGGAAGAACAAGATCGGTTGAAATAGGGAACATGGAGCAGGAGCTGGAGTAGCCTGGGACCACTGAGGCTGGGACAAGGCAGGTGAACGTGGGGGAATCTGGGGAAGCTGGGATGAGAGGAGAGCACAGCCAGATGTTCAGAGAACTGGCGAATACCTGAGGCAGAGCTGTGTGTTCCTGCCCCATGACCCTGCTCTGTGGGTGTGAGGCACACCTGGCTCCCCTGTGACACACGGCATTCCCAGCACCCTTCCTCTTCTCTCAGCATGACTGTACAGGGAGGGAATGCTCGCAAGTGTGTGGATGTGGTGGGAGTGGAGGGCAGCAGGAGATCTGGGGCTTGGGGAGCAGCACTGCAGCTCATGAAACTCCTCTGTTGTTGCAGGAGTGCCGGATTGCTCATCCCATTGTTAAATGCACTTACTGCAGGACTGAATTCCAGCAGGAAAGGTAAATGCTTGCTGAGCTGGGGAGATCCAGGTTTCAGGTAGAATGATCACACCTCGGGAACTGTAATGCTCCACACCTTCAGTCACTGAGCCTTAACCTGTAGATTGTTGCTGTGGAGAACTTGGGAGACCTTTGGCCACCTCCAAAGATCTGCTGGGCGAGTTGCAGTGTCTGTAGTGCACTTGGATCACACCTTTTGCTTGGGTTTTTTTTTTCAGTCAGAGCTCAGATGCATTTTTCCATTAGTTTTCCTCTTGCCTGATGTCTGGTATCCAACATTTATTTCCTGCTGTGTGTCCTCAAGCTGGGCTCATGTTTTTTTTGTGTTTTGAAAAGTTGTGAAGCTGTCAGAGGGAGGGTTGGTAAATCCCAGGGCTGTGTGTGGCCGTTGTGTGAGGTGCTCCTTCCTGTGTTTGTTGGACAAATATACCTCTGCCCTCTCCTGCCATGACCTCCAGAGTAGAGCCTGCCCTGATGCTGAATCACTCATGCTGCCAATTAGTCAGTGATCAAATCCTGTGTTTGTATTGACAAAACCCGGGTGTCATCTGGAGATGCCTTAATTAAAAGACACCTCCTTTGTAATTTTTGGCCATTTATCCTCAGCCAGATGGGGATGGGAAAAGCATTTTGGTATCTGAGTCACTAGAGAGGTTGAATCCGGCCTCATCACCAGAGGCAGAGCTGAGGGGAGGCTGGGAGCCTAAGCAGGGATCCTGGAGTCTGAGCCAGGCACCCTAAACACAGAGGTTTCATTTCTGTTGGAATGTGTTGATAGAATGATCTGTCCTTCTTCACAGCAAAACCAACACGATATGCAAGAAGTGTGCTCAGAACGTGAAGCTCTATGGCACAGTAAGTGAGGGGCTCAGCCTCCCCAGCCTCTCTTCCTTTCATCTCTCTTGTCTTTGTCCTGCTGAAATCTCAGAGCAGTTTATGGACTGGCTCAGCTGCAAGAGCATGACTGATCAATAATATGGGTCAGTCAAATGGCTTTTACTTTTTTCTGTTCTTGTGGCACAGAAAAGAGCTTTGCATCGTTTGAGGCCAGGAAATTATCTGTTTGACACCCAGTAGAAACAAGACTGTGCTTACACAGACTGAGATTGCTGCAGGAAGCAGTGTTAAATCTTTATTTCCTGCTTGTCTGAAATCTGAAATAGAGATTTTGATTGGTTCTATTTTGTTGTTTTTTGTAAAGGTTTCACAGCACTTGATAAATGGTCTGAGTGCCATGGCTAAATACACTTAGCTGGAGGCCAGGGATCCAAATGAAGTTTGGTCTCCTGGATCAGCATTATACTCTGTAGAATAAGGAAATAAAAGTTTGAAATTATGGGGAGAATGGGAATGAGCAGTGTACTATTGTAGTTAGAAGGCTGTAGCAGTTGTTCTTATTTTTTAAAGCCAAAACCCTGCCAGTACTGCAACATCATAGCAGCTTTTATTGGAAACAAGTGCCAGCGTTGCACCAACTCAGAGAAGAAGTATGGCCCTCCTCACTCGTGTGAGCAGTGCAAGCAGCAGTGCGCCTTCGACCGGAAGGATGACAGGAAGAAGGTCAGTATTTGTGTTAAAGAAGACTAAAAAGGTAAAAGGGCTGATCACATTGATCCTCTCTCCATCTTCTTTACATCTTCTGCAGCATTTCTGACAGGACATGGGCAAAGGCTTCCCACTGCCAGATGGAATACTGGGAGGAAATTCCTCCCTGTGAGGGCGGGCAGGCCCTCACAGTGCCCAGAGCAGCTGTGGCTGCCCCTGGATCCCTGGCAGTGCCCAAGGCCAGGCTGGACAGGGCTGGGAGCAGCCTGGGACAGTGGGAGGTGTCCCTGCCATGGCAGGGAGGACTGGGTGGGGTTTAAGGTTGCTTTCAACCCAAACCTTGGTTATAAAGTGTTTTCTAGAGTTGAGCTTTGCTCTGGTTTAGAGCTGTTTAATCTTTAAACCCCTGTGTGCCTCTGCCAGATCTTCTAAGAAAGATCTCTTGAATTTGGCCCAAGAGCTGGCAGAGGAGCAGAGACGTCTGAATAAAGTGTGAGGCTGTGAGGAGAGGGATGGAGAATGATATTTGTTCCATAGCCTGAGGAGCTACAAGTGTCATACCTCCACCAGGAAACCCCTTCATGGTTTCTGTACACCCTTTGCTCAAACACCCTGGGTGCTGTGTAGGAGGTGTGTCTTTTTTAGGCAAACTGTAAACATCTGTTGATCTGTTGTTTGGAGTGCTGCAGCCATAATCCGTGCCCTGCTGAGCCTCCTGGAGCAGACACTCTTGCTGGTTTGGTCTCCAGTGACTGCCTGTCCCTTCAGAGGATTCTTTTTGAGTCCCTGCTTGTTCATATGTAACCCTAAGCTTGAAAGTGCTTGTCTTTTCTGTATTTGCTTTGTGGGCAGAAAAAAGACCAAAGCTTCTTTCTGTCTCCCGTTCCAGGTGGATGGAAAGCTGCTGTGCTGGTTGTGCACACTGTCCTATAAACGAGTCCTGCAGAAGACCAAAGAGCAGTGCAAACACCTGAGCAGTTCTTCCCGAGGCAGCCTGCAGGAGAAGGAGCAGTTCAGTAGGCTCAGCAGTGGCAGCCACTATAACAGGTAACCTTAGGAGGGGTTTGGGCATGGTCTGAGCTCAGGACAGTCTGGCTAAGTCACGCTTTGCTTGTTTGCAAACCTCACTGTGCTGGTGCAGCCTTGTGCTTCTTAGTGATCCAACTTACTGAACTTGTACACTGTGAAAGCAAAGTTGCATTTGTAAAATTTAATGATTAAAATGCGGATTTTAAGCAGGAGTTCTTCACCTACATACTGCTCTGACTCATTGTTTTCTGTTTATTTTTAGTCTCCAGCTACTCTTCAAGGAATGATTTTTTTATCGTTTTAGCAATGGGAAATACTGTTTTAATAGGATCAAAGTGGGTGGGAATGTTTATCTGCCTCTCTGTCTTAGACTGAAAGTCATTCAGGTTCTGACATATAATTGCCTCCTTTTTCTAGCCAGAAAACCTTATCCACGTCTTCCATTCAGAACGAAATCCCAAAGAAGAAGGCCAAGTTTGATGCCATATCTGCAAATGGTGACAGGTGAGCCTGTTACATGGGGAAGTTGTGGGCGGGTGATTTGTTTGCTGAGTTTATGTAAGGCAGAGTTGTGTGTGAATAACAGGAAGCCCTTATGCTAGAGCAGAGGCCTTGGGCTTTAAGACCTCGAGGGGTTGTCCTAGAACCTGGCAAGGCAATGCTACCTGGAACCTAGACATAGATTTGAAGAGGAAGAGAATACTGAGCACCTGTACCTGCTTGGATGGAGCAGGACCGAGGTGGTGTTGGCTGAGCTCCCCAACAGTCAGGAGAACTGCAGCTAAACTAACTTTATCATCTCTCCTGCAGCCACAGGGAGAGAGGGGCTGGTGAGGTCTGCAGGTTTTGTGCTTTGAGGTCTGTCAGACTGAACTGCAGGGAGAGCCTCAGAGGACAGGAGAAGATCCAGACCCACTTCCTATGTCCCCTCCTGCTTTTGGGGGAGAGACAAGCAATCAAACAGCTTTGCTTGAAAGGTTGTGGAGTCCCCATCCTGGCAGTGTTCCAGGCCAGGTTGGATGGGTCATGGAGCAGCTTGGTCTAGTGGAAGGTGTCCCTTCCCATGGCAAGGGGATGGAACAAGATGCTCTTTAGGATTCGTTCCAGCCCAAACCATTCCATGGTTCTCTGATTCTAGCAAAGCATCCACCCCATTCTGTTGTCACACTTGATGCTGGATCATGTTGATGCCGGCCACCTGTGCAGCAGAATGGGAGTCACTAGCAGAAACAGGAGATTGAGATGGATTTGTATTTTTATGGTCTTGTGCATGCATATTTTCATTCCTGCCTTTCCTCTCTGATTCTCAGCGTTCCTTCCTCTCCCGAGATGCTTTGCCCCCTTATCCAGAGGGCCCCGTCCACGTTGGCGCAGTGGGCTGCTTCCCAACAGACTCTCGGGGCCCACCATTGTCCTGTTGCTCAAGGCATTGACATCCTGAAGTGAGATCACCTATTGTTTTCTCCCCTCCCTCCCTGGGAACTGCCTCCTACACGGGAACTGTCCCTCTCAACAGATCTCTTTCTGAACAGCAGGGATTTGGGAGCATGGACCGGAGCACAGTTGGTGCCAAAGGGTTTGTTAAAGACACTGGTAATTAATTAATCACTACCTGCCTTCAGTGTCTCTGAGATCATAGATCTCTCCTATAGGTACTGTTGACACTTTGTCACTGTAAAATGCTCCCGTGAGAAATGCCCTTCCTGGAAGTGTTCATGGCCAGATTGGATGGGGCTTAGGGCAGCCTCATCTAGTGGAAGGTGACACTGCCCGTGGCAGGGGGCAGAATGAGATGAGCTTTAAGGTCCCTTTGACCCAAACCATTCTGGGATTCTATGATTCTGTGAAATAGAACTTTAATAATTTTATAGGGCAGTGGCACCCACGGAAAGGTGTGAAATACCTTTTATCATCTGAACAGCATTTTCAGTTAAAAGCTGGAAAAATTTAAGGACTAATTGTGACTTAGGAGCCGTGGCTGAGTGTGGAGGGGTTAGAATTCCATTGCCTTCAGTGCTGGTGGAGCCTGAGGAGAGAATGGAAACAGGACCCTGGTAGAACTGGTGCAGCCCGTCAGAGAGCCGCTGCTCTGGGCTGTAGCACAGCATCAGCTGTTTCTATCTCCTCAATAGATCCTGGGCTGAGATCTCACAACTCATTGTAACAGCCCTGCTGGCTTGAAAATACCCAAAAAGCAAAATGACCTGTGCTCTGGGTTGGTCAGCTCTGTGTTTGGAAAGCAGGAGCATATATTGAAGGAATCGAGGGCCTTCCTTTTGCTCTCATGTCAGATATTGTCAGTCTGGCTCCTGCCAAGGCTGTAGGCCTTGCCACAGGCTTTTTTTGATGAGTTCCAGTAACAAACCAAGTGTAAATTTAGCAACTGAAGAGCTTCAGCGACATGCAGGAGAAAATGCAAGCTGCAGCTGCCTTAAATAGACAAATGGCTGCACATCCTGAGAGGAGTAATAATGGGGGTTTCTTAATGGGGGTTTGGAGTGGCTGAGGGTTCGTTTATGAGAGTGAGCCCCCAAATCCCTCCCCTTTATACAACTACCAGATTGTCCCTCCCAGAGTCACACTGGTGTGTGGGGCACAGCCTGAGCAGGGAGTTAAGGTCTGCTGCAGCACAAGGGTGTTTGCAGCAGCAGAGTCTGGAGTAAACTCCAGCACCTCCTCCCTGCTGAGATCAGCCCCAATATCCTGTACCCCAGCTCCAGCCAAACCTATGGTGTAGCCCTCAACTGGGCAAAAGTTGGGCATGTTTGAGCTCAGTTGACTTTGGCAACACCTTCAGTCAGGGTCCAGTTTCTTTGAAATTACTGCTTCTTTTTGGATATGGTAGAAATTCCTTTACTGTGTCGTACTGAATTCCCTCTGTTTACATATTTCAGCATGATTGTTGCTCACAATAGCTATGATATGTGGACAGGGTGATTTCCAGCAGTCATTTAAAGGGTATTGAATGGTTTGTTCTGGGAGGAGCAAACAGCTCTGTTGCTGCTGCACTGGGAGTAGTTTTCTTTCCCAGTGACTCGCAGCACATCTTGCAGAGACTTGGTCTCACTAATCCTTCTGTGCTGCCGGTGCCCAGCACACCAGCTTCACCTCCAGCCCCTGCAGCTCTGCTGGTCCTAACTGGGGCAGTCTTGGTGTCCCCATCATCTGTGCTAATGCTGGCAAAGTGCTTTTATGCTGCAGACTCTGCAGATGAGCACACTGCAGTCCCTTCTCCTGTCACTGCAGACAAGCTGCTAAATCGTGCTTGTAACACCAGGCAGTGACAGCACTGCTGGCAGGGGGAGGACAGCAGTGCCTCAGGATGCTCAGCAGTGAAGTTCATTTGTAAAAGATTCTTATTTGCATAGGAAAGTCCTGGCATAGTTTAAAGCTCTGTGACTTGGGCTGAACTGCACTGAGCGGAGGATGTTTTTTCATAGAATCCCAGAATGGTTTGGGTTGGAAGGGACCTTAAAGCTCATCTCATTCTGCCCTTTGCCATGGGCAGGGACATCTTCCACCGTCCCAGGTTGCTCCAAGGCCCCTCCAACCTGACCTTAGACCCTTGCAGGGATCCAGGGGCAGCCACAGCTGCTCTGGGTAAACTTTGCCCGGGCTTCACCACCCTCACCCTTCCCAAGGAATCTGTCCCTCCCTTCTGGCAGCAGAAAGCCATTCCCCCTTGTTCTGGCACTTCAGGCCCTTGTCCCCAGTTCCTCTCCAGCTCTCCTGGATCCCCTTTAGGCTTTGGAGTGGGCTCTAAGATTTCCCCAAATCCTTCTCTTCTCCAGGCTGAACACTTTCAGCTCTCCCAGCTCTTGGAACATCTCCATGGCCTCCTCTGGGCTTGTTCCAGCAATTCCACATCCTTTTGATGTTGGGGGCTCAGAGCTGGAGGCAGCTATGCAGGTGCTTTTTGTCTAAGGTGAAATGTGGATGCTGGTTTACTGCCTGGTCTCTGCCTCTTCATGCCAGCCTGACTTGAATAGCAAAATCTTTAATCTTGGCATTTGCCTTGCCTAATTTCTGCCATTTAGCAGGTGTGGAGTTTAAAGCAATCGATTTGGTTTCTGTTCCAATCAATAGAGAGAGGCAGGTGCCTTGGGAACAGCTCCATTTTTGTCTTCTGTCTCTGCTGAAAACAACAGGAGCTCATAATTTCCCTTTAATTAGTGGTGTGCCTTTTAGGCTGTTCAGACATGGAGAGCTCATGTCCCCCTGACCTATCCCAAGGGGCTGGATCTTGAGTTTATTTGTAGAGGAAATGGCTTTTTTTTTTTGGTTGGTTGTTTTAATTCTTGATCTGTTTGTTAAAGGAAAAGACTAACTTGTGTATGGCAGTTTTCCTTCAAATTTTGGAGTCTCAGGCTGCTTCTGTAACATGGGGTTTAAGACCGAGGAACCTTTCATTACTATCTTGCCAGTCTTTAAAAAAATACCAAGGAAGAGGAAAAAAAGTCTGCTTCTTTATTTAGCACCTTAACACATTTGAAGGGGCATTTTTCAGCAGCTGGACAGGAAAACACCAGTCTGGTATTTTATACCTGTCCAGGAGGAGGTCTCAAGCTGGCTCAAGTTCCCCTCTGGTGGATGCAGAAGCCTCAGGGATGGTGCTCTGTGCAGGCTGGTGGCCCTCCTGTCCCTTCCTTCTCCCCAGTGGGTGGCAGGGCTGGCTCTGGCCTTCCTGGCTTTGCTGGCCAGCAGCAGTTGCTGGGCAGGGAATTGTTCATGCTGGAGCTGATCAGGGAATTGTGGGCATCCCCTGGCACTCTTTATCACCCCAGGGCATGGCAGGAGGGAAGCGTGCCTGGGCAAAGGAATGGTGTGTCTAGGGATTGTTTTCAGCCAGAGGGAATTCGTGAGGAAGCCTCTTTTCTCTGTGCTGTTGGTTACTGTTGTTGTTATTTTTTAAAATTTATTTCTCTCCTCCCCAGCATATTTGCAGTGAGTGGGAAATTAAAGCTGCTGTTAATAATATGCTTGCACATAGAAAGGTGCTGGAGCACACAGCATCATCTTGCACAGCCTCCACTTGGGAAAACTATTGGGAAAGCTTTAAAATGGGAGTTGTTCTGTGCTAGTGTGTGGGTATGAACCTCTCTATCTAGCCCAGAGCTGGATCCAGTGTGCCCAGAGAGCTGCCACATCTTAGTGTGGACTCTGCTGTCAGCATGTTTTAGCCGTGCAGGGCTCCTCTGCTCCGGGCTGTCTCCTGCAGACCCTCAGTTCTGAGTTTTCCTCTGCCAGGTTTTCTCTCCCAGTGCCTCAGGGCCATCCTCTGGCTCCCAGATCTGGGAAGCTGCCTCTGCTTTGTTTCCCTCTGCAGATCCCCAGCACAGTGGGGAGCGAGCTTTTTCCCCTGCCACATCCTTACTAACGAGTCCTGTCACAGCAGACTGTAGTGCTTTTAATTAGAAAATGGATCATTTCCAGGTGCTGGTGGAGACCCTGTGTGAAGTGAGCAGCAAGTACTCTCTGCCTTAGGGTACAGGTTGGGGACTGGAAGCTCAGAGGTAGAAACATCCTGGAGAGAGGCAGAATTTTGGGTTGAGACCATGCTTGTCCCACTCTGCTGCAGCTCCCAGCTTTAAAGCTGAGTGTTGACCTACTCTGGAGGCTTTAAAAAAAAAGTCAGGCTTTGGGTGACCCTGATGATTTATTTCTATTTATCTGATAACAGCCAGACTTGAAGTAATCTTCTAGGTGGAGCTTTGTTGTCTTACTACTGTTCAATTTTTATATAGCAGTTTCAGATGCAAGTGGCTGGGAGTGTGCTGCCCACTTAGCACGAGGAGGTAAAAATCAGCTTTAGGGATGGAACGGAAGGCAGGGAAAAATCAGGTGGGCTCCCTGGGTCTTGTGGCTGCAGCTTGTTGTATCTTATGGTCTGCATATTCCCATAGCACAGGACTGCATGTGCCTGCCTGGGTCACTGGTGTCTCCTAGGGAGGTTTGTGATTTACCAGTGCAGCAGTGACTCATGCACAGATAGCTCTGCTGATGGTTGCTCAGATTTAGAGTACCTGGTGGTGTACAGGTGATGTGCTCAGCTAGTTCTCTGTCTTCCTGGAGAGTTTTTCCTACTCTGGAATAATGAAGCTTCTCCCTCTATTGCTTTATCATGGCAGAATCATATTACAAGGTCCAGTATGTTTTTTACCCCTTTTGCTTGCTCAGAAAAATTTAGCTGTTTCCTTTTGCTCTGTTTGTTGAACTTGGAGGTTGCTTCTCTTTCATGTCCCCTCCTTGTCAGAATATTTGTTTACATTCAGTGGGGAGTTCTGCAGTGCATCCAAGGACTGATTGTGAGCAAAGAGAAGCATAAATTTTAATTATCTCTCTGATTGCTGTCTTCAGCTCTCTGGTTTCAAAAAGGATCATGAATGATCATGTAATGATTCCCACTCTCCTTTGAGCGCATCCGTGGGAGTTTCCCTGCCTGGTGAAGAGGAGAGTTTTGTTGAGGGCCTCTCCCTGTTCTTTGCTGCAGTTTTTCTCCGGACCTCGCCCTGGACTCCCCTGGCACCGACCACTTTGTCATCATTGCCCAGCTGAAGGAGGAAGTGGCTACTTTAAAAAAGATGCTTCACCAGAAGGATCAGATGATTTTGGAGAAGGAGAAGAAGGTACAGTCCTTGGCTTGCTTCCCCCCAGCAGGCTGACATGTTCTCACAGATCACACTCTGACACAGCCTGGCTTTTTGTCTTGGAGTTAACATGTCTGGCTGTTTCCAGGCTGCCTCCTTTCCAAAGCCAAAGAGGCCCTCTGGACCCACCCAGGGGATCTCATTTCATAAAGGGTCATTTCCTGACCACTTTCTTGGCGACCTCTGTGTGTGGGCAAGACTGGGAATAAACATGCTGCTGCTTGGAGAAATGCAGTGCTGGCCCTTGCAGTTGCTCTGTGCTCTCAGTGACACAGTTCTGGTCTCATTGCAGTCCCTCAGCACTGCCAGCATGTCTGTGACCTCAGCCAGTCTCACACACCTTCTGTAGAGACACTTTCCACGGCAGGGGGATCTGTGGGGAGGGCAGTTGTTGCCTCTTCCAGCTCACTTGCTCCTTCCTGGTTTCTACACAGATCACGGAGCTGAAAGCTGACCTGCAGTACCAGGAATCACAGATGAGGGCAAAGATGAACCAAATGGAGAAGACACACAAGGAGGTCATGGAGCAGTTACAGGTGACAGCATTGTCAGTTTAACTGCTGAGCTGTGTTGTATCCAGGAGTGACTGAGGACATTCCTGAGCTGTGTCCAGGAGGGACTGAGGACACTCCTGATCAGGACACCCTGTGAGCTACTGCACACAGAGCTCTGCTAATGTTTCTCAACCGTGTCCTACAGCCTCTGTGCTGCCAGGCAAGCCCCTCCTCAGCTCTGCATTGCATCCCAACCACCATTTTACACCTACCTTGCTGCTCTCTACTCAGGCTCACACTTATTGTGTTTAAAGTGCTATGTTGTGTCCCTTATGGACTAGACAGGAACCATCGGACTCATTTTACTTATTGCCAAAATCAGGTTTGAACCTGTTTCTCCAGTCTGCAGAACCTTTGTCAGCTCCCTGAGCCTCTAAATCACCTCCCTGTGATTTGTGTGAGCAGTAACCGGAGAGAACAAAGGAACAATTGGCAGTTCTTTTCACCCTGTATCTCTAGTCCAAATAAAAAAGTCCCTGAGCTGATGGAAGCAGGGAGAGCAAGATTCTTGTCATGGCTGTGGAAACACAGCAGACTATCAGTATGAATAGCTTGAGCCACCGAAGGGATCAGGTCAAAGGGGAAGAAATCAGACACAGAAATGAACTTTGCGCCGTTTAATTACTTTGGGTATACAAAGATCTAAAGCCCCAGCAATGAGAGCTGGGAGGGGATGAGACAAAAGGCTTCTGTTGCCCCTGAGGAAACAGCCCCTCCTCCATCCACACCCACTCTGGGGAAGTATCCCAGTGGAAGGCAGGCTGGAGGCCTCCAGCTGCTGTCAGAGTGCTGGTGCCTGCCAGAATCCCTTCACAGGGCACGTGGAATGCTGGGATGTGGTGTGGAGAGGGCTGGGTGTGCTGTTTCTGAAGGTAAAGGAGCATCAGATCCAGGAGCAGGTGTGCCCCAGCCACTTCCCTCTCTTGGGGCTTTCCATGTCTGTGCTCAGCTCAGGCTGGGACTGCCCTGAACTCTCTGGTGTCCAGATGCTTTATTTCTGCTGCTATTGGTTGAGTCTCTGGAAATCTTTTTCAATGGCTGCAAAATCAAAGTTCAGTTCCTCTCAGTGTATTGTAGGTACTTTGAACTGTTCATATGATTAATTTTTGAACGGTCTTGTGGGTTCTATCATTTTGTAGTTGTCTTTTCCTGTGGGGCTGGGATGGGAGAGCCCTCTCTAGGAGGTCAGAGGTGAGCTCAACGTCTGTGCCCCCTTTCCAGCTGTGTGCAGGATGTCAGCAGCTTCTGCACAGGGATCCCAAGAGCTAATGATGATCCATGCCACTAAATACCCATTTCCCCATTTCTAGGCCAAGAACAGAGAACTCCTGAAGCAAGCAGCTGCCCTGTCAAAAGGCAAAAAGCCTGAGAAGTCAGGAGCAATAACCTCCCCTTAAAGCCAAGCCCCCAGCCTGGGAGCTTTCCCCTGCACTAGCCGAGAAGTGTGGGAGGCCTGCAGGATGGCTGGAAGCCCAAACCTCTGTCTTGTGGACTCCATGGGATTCCTGGTGCGTGTTACCTTCTGACAGCATGCTTGAGTGTGGCCAGTTTCAGTCCATGGGGAGAGGTCCCAGCTTTCCTAAATCCCCCCTGAAGTACTGTTTTCTGGAAGAAATCTTTTCCTAACCAGTTGCTACCACTGCCAGCCCTTTCCATGAGCAAACAGGAACCTGCTGCATTAGTGGCTCCTTGCTGGTTCCCAGCCTGCTGCTGTGAGGGAACTGCCATGGCCAGTTGTTCTGCAGATAAAATGGGAGCTGCGTGTGGTGGGAGCTGCATTTTTTTTCCCTTGAACTGTTCCTTCTTCAAAAGAGAGCTGAGAACTCACCAGCCCAACAGGTATTCCTGGAAGGTTGTGCCACTGCTGACAACAGTTGATCCAGCTTTTTGAAGATGCTTCCAAAATGGGGGCCATGTATTTATCTTGGAAGATTTTTGTGTTTTGTTTTGGTTTTCTTCTTATTTTCTCTGTCAACTTGGCAAACCAAACTGCCTGGTTTTGTGTTTCCTTGTTTTTCTGATCAGAGCTTTTGGGTTGGGAGCCAAAGTGGAATTATACAGCCCCCAACCCACCCAGAATTCCCCCACCCCCCCCAGTGCCCTGGTTATGTGGTGACCTCTGGGATTTTGATGATTTCTGCAGCTTGGTGCGATCAAGTGTCTCTTACTCCATTTCTTTACACAGAGAGTTCAAGGCTCGGATATTCCCTCTCTTCCTCCTTTCCCTGCCCCTTCCAGATGCAGGGGCCAGGTTGGCTCCAGGAAAGCACTTACTCAGGCAGCAACCCAAGCCAGGGAGTGTTTTTTGGGGCACTCCAGGGATTTTTCTCACTGCTGATTCCAAACCAGCAGGATCAAAGGGCTATGAGAGTTCCCTGTACCAGGGATGTGCTGCCCCAAAACAGCACAGCTGCCACTGACCCTTACAGCCAGACCAGCTGGGCTGGGTCCCCCCAGGCACCTCTTTTGGGGTGATGGTGGTGGATAAACAGCACTTGGAGGGGGAGCACCACACAACCCCGGGCTGGCAGGAGCTCCTCGACATCCCGAGCGCCAGTCAGGGAGTGGAGAAAGATCTCAGGGCTTGGAGACCCCCGGCAGGGGCTGGAGGTAGGTAAGAGAACTCACGCTTTTGCTGCAGGGCGGCTGCTCCGTCAGGGCTTTGATGAAGCTTTTAACTACAGCTTGTGATTACTTTTTTCATCCTTTTGTTTCTTATTTGTTACTAAAGTTGATTTTACTCAAAGGCACTTTTTCGGGATGATGTTGGCTTCTGGCATGGAAGGAGCACATTTCATCGGACACTGCCATGGATTTGTTTTTGGTTTTTATAAGAGACTTTTAATGTGAAAACAAGCAAAACCAGAAATTGTTACACTTTGCCTGAGTGTGGCAAAACTCACCCAGTTTTATACTTTTAGAAAATGAAGTGCATTGGTGGGAGTTTTTTTAACTGTGGGCTTTGCTTTTTATCTTCTCTCAACATAAAGAAATAAAAAGAGGGAGAAAGGCCCTGTAAATACTGTTCAGTAGGGTTTTTAATCGTGATAAATTGCTCCTGCCGTTGCATAGCTGATTTGTAGCACCAGCATCGTTTCTTTGTATGTTTGTAATGATGAGATTTTCAAGGGATGCTTTGATTTGTACAAATGATACCTGTAAAAGTGGTTTAAAAAAATCCTCATCTGTGACTGATACTTTGTTTGCTTTGAAAAGGGAAAAAACCAAAACAACCAAAATACCTTGCCCTGCCTGGAGCTGATTTATCTCCTGCTCTAAGGTTGGGAGTTTGGGGAATGAGACAATATTTTCCCATTGTTTGCTTTGCTCCTACTTTTTTTTCTATCTTTAAATCCTCCCATCAAGCCTGTTGCTAGGATCCTGGTTACTTGGTTACATCCAGCTTCCCTGGGCCCATCAGGCTGTATCTGACGAGATGTATTCCTGATCTTGGCGAGGGGATACAACTGGCACAGACAGAGGGACCTGCTTCTTTGGCATGGAGGCTTTCCCTTTTCCCATGAGATTTCCATGAAGAAAATTTGGCTGCCTCTCATCTTTTTCCAAGGAAATCTCCAGAGGTCTGGGAATCTAAAGGGGTTTTAGCTTTGACTGTTTTCCTTATTCATATCCAGTCTCCTGGTGCACATGGAGCATGCTGATCTTTGAGCAGAGCATGTAAGGAAAGGAGACACTGAAACAATCTTCCACGTCTACCTGCCCCAGGTGTTCCCTCAGTGTCCCTGTATGGTCTCTGCTGCTTCCCTTCCTTCTCAGAATCTGGGCTGCCCAAAGCCACCAGCTGCTGAAAAAAGCAGGAGTTGTCCCCAGCCAACTCCATCCAAGGTAACACACCTTGAGCAATCGGCCTTCCCTTGCTGTTCAGCTTTCCTGGAGCACCAGACTTTTCCAGTCAGCAGGATGGTAACCAGAGCACTGTCAGCCCCAAAATAACTACCCACCCTTGTTTGTTTTTATGTCCCTGGAGAGATTTAAAAGCCATGCAGATGTGGCACTTGGGGACATGGGTTAGTGGTGGCCTTGGCCATCCTGGGGTAATAGTTAAACTCTGTGGTCTTAGAGAGCTTTCTGAACAGAACAATTCCATGATTCTGTGGGGTGCTGAAGCTGTTTTGCACTGGCCAGCATGGCCTGCTCCTCGCTCCCAGCCTGGGAGGCTGCTGTGGCAGGAGGGAGATGCTGCTGACAGCCTGAGCCAGCAGGAGCCACCTGGGAAAAGTGCTGCAGGTAACCTTGTGCTTGCCAGGTGGGCTGACCAGGGGTGAGGGACAGATGGGGGATCCCGTGCTGCCCCAAAACCTAGAGTTCTATGCCCGCCCAGCGGTGCTTGGCCCCTCCTAGCCCTGCTCAACATGCAGGACTTGTCTGTGGGACAAATGTCCTCCTGGCACAGCCCTTCGTATCTTCTGATGGGATATTTTTATATTAAATATTTGGCAGCATCTCCAGCCCATCTCTCCAGCTGGATCATCGCCTGATGCACACCCACAGCCCTGTCCCTCTAATATCCAGAGCTTTTTGGGGAGCAGAAAGGGGAGAAGAGAGGCAGCCTCCCCCTCTCTGCGACCCCTATTTTGCTTGCTCCGTGTTGCCCAGAGCAAACACAGAGCTCGTGGCCTCAGGTGGAACTGCAGAGTCATCATGGAATGGTTTGGGTTAGAAGAGGCCTTGAAGCTCATCTTGTTCCACCCCCGCCATGGGCAGGGACAGCTCCCACTGTCCCAGGTTGCTCCAAGCCCTGTCCGCAGCTTCTTTGCGCAGCCCCAGGGCTGGCTGGTGACCAGCAGCACCTCTGCTTGTGCCCCTGTCCTGCAGCTCTGTGGGGTGTGACAGTGCGGCAGGAGCAGGTGACAGAGCTGGGCTGGGGTGGCAGAGACTAAACCAGCACCTCTGACCCTGGTCAGTGAGGGGCCACGTTCCCTCGGATCACATGAAATGAAGCCCCCAAATTGTGCCTCTGAAATGACACAAATGGAAAGACAGAAGTGGAAACCTTGAGGTGGCCAGAGGCACCCAGACTCCACAGCCTCAGCACAGAGCCGTGTTTGCAAAACACCCTAAAAATAGCCCCAGGAAGGGACAAGGACAAGGAGCAATGCCCAGGGACGTTTCTAAGTGGCCGTGCCCTCCTGCATGCAGAGGCTGGGCCTGTGGGCTGTGCTGAGGGTGGCTGTTCCAGCCGTGGGCTGTGCGGCTGGCGCTGCAGTGCCAGGGAGCTCTGACGTTCCCCTGCTGGCAGGAGCTCAGCCCGGAGCCAGAGGAGGTTGTTGCCAGGAGAATCCTGAGTTGTTTGTGCAGCGACTCCTGTGTGCTGGGCTGTCAGGCAGCACCAGTGCTGTGTCTGGGACAGCCCATGGTTGTGAGGGTGTGAAGGGATTTTATCCCTTCTTTTCATGTTTTCTTTTTTCTTCTGGCCCTTTGGAGAAACACCAAACCCAGTAAAAGAGTCAGAGAGTCCCAGACCTTTTTGATTGGAAAAGATCTTAAAGCTCATCTTTTTCTGCCCCCCTCTGATGGGTAAGGACACCTTCCACCGTCCCAGGTTGCTCCAAGTCCTGTCCAGCCTGGCCTTGGACATTTCCAAGGATCCAGGGACAGCCACAGCTTCTCTGGGCACCTGTGCAGGACCTGCCCACCCTCACAGGGAAGGATTCCTTCCCAATATCCCATCTATCCCTCCCTTCTGGCAGCAGGAAGCCATTCCCCCTTGTCCTGGCACTTCAGGCCCTTGTCCCAAGTCCCTCTCCAGCTCTCCTGGAGCCCTTTTAGGCTCTGGAATGGGCTCTAAGTTTTCCCCAGAGCCTTCTCCAGGCTGAACACCTTCAGCTCTCCCCAGCTAAAGGGAGAGCTGTTTGTCCAGTGCAGAGGGTCTCCAGCCCTGTTTGGAGCATTCTGGCCTCCTCTGGGCTCGCTCGGGCGGTTCCATATCCCTGTGCTGCCTGTGCCCGGAGCTGGGGTGTTTGCCTCAGGCCGGTTTCTCTCTGGCCCCGGCTGCGGGGTCGGGGAAGGGTCCCTAGACAGACCGGATGGCTGCGCGCTGGCCACGCCCCGCATTGTCATTGGTCTGATTGTTGCTGAGTGGTCCCGCCCCCAAGCTCCCATTGGCGGAGGCGGGCGGAGGGGCGTATCCGCGCCCCGTGCTATGTAAGCGTGGCGGGCGCGGGGTCTCGGGGTCGCTGCGGGGACCGGGGCTGTCCCCAGCGCCCAGCCCCAGCGTGATGCTGGTCGCCGGCTCGCCGTGCAGCCCCGCGGGGCCGGAGGAACACCGGGGCTGCGGGGCCCGGCGGGACGGCCAGGTAAGGGCTCCCGGGCTGTACCGCCCCGTCCCCGGGCGCGCACGGTGCAGCCCGCACTGGCGTCCCTCGGAGAGGCGTGGGGTCGTGCCCCGCTGCCCGCCCCGCCCGGCTGCAGGGAGGGGAGGGGCCGGGACAGGAGCAGCCCTTTGGCCGCACACGGGAGCTCCAGCCCCGAGGAGTGTGGGGCAGAAAGGACCCGAACCCCGTGCTTGGAGCAGGGGTAGTCCTGCCAGTGTGCGGGGAAATCGTGATGTTGAGTGGCGTTTAGTGCCCAGGGAGGGTCGGTGGCACCGCGGAGCGGGCCGTCGGCACAGTGCTGCTCCCGATGCCCGGTGCCGTGCTGTGCCCGTTCCTCGCTGCTGTCCCGTGGCGGTGGTGCCCCGCGCTCGGAGCGGTGTCACAGCTGGCTGTCCCGTTGTGTCACACAGCGCAGCAACATCGCAGTCCGGTTTCATCAGGCGCGGCCAGCCTGACGCACAGGGTGTGGGGACACGGCCCCGCGGCCCGTGCCGGTGTCCGCCTGAGTCACCCCTTCCGGTGACGCCGACGGGGATGTTCCCGGGCTCCGCTGACTCCCGGCTCTGCCTTCCTTCCTAGGAAAGAGGAGTTGAGGCTGCCGGGGAGCTGGCGAGGGGCCCCAGCGCCTTCATTCCCCTGGAAGAGGTAAAGCGATGAGAATTGGCTTGGGTGGGGGTCTCCTTCACCTTTCCCTGCTGCGGGAAGGATTCCCAACCCTCCGATTCCTGGCGCCTGGTGGGGATGGGATGCTGAGGATGGGATGGAGAGGGGTCAGCCACCCCAGGAGGATCCTTGTGGTATTGGGGAGGGTCGTTCTGGAGATTAGGGGAACAGCTGTATTTCACCCTGGTGTTTGCTTGCCCTGTCTGTGCCTCAGTTTCCCCACTCAGTCAGACACATCTGTGTTTCCCTGGTGATGCAAAGACCCACACCCTTGCCCTGCCCGACCCCAGCATTCTGCCCTGACATCCCCAGGGCACCTGAGCCCTATCTCAGCACCCACATTCACTGCTCCAGATGTTCCTCCTCAGGCAGAGATAGCGCCGTGGTTTCGTCACTGCGCTGGGGGCTGACCCCCATCTCCTCCTCCCTCGCACTGCAGAGCCCAAACAAACAACCCAACCCACAGGCCGAGCAGGACGGGCTGTGTGGGTTCTGCCATGGAGACCCCTGAGCCCCCTGTGCCCCCCGGGGCTGGCAGGGGGGACACGGGCAGCGGGGGCCCCCGGCGGTGTCCGTTCCGGAGGCAGGGTGCTTCCACTGGGGTGAGGATCCAGCCTTGCTGCTCTTGGGCTCCTGCGTGTTGGGGGGCGTCTCCATTTAGGTTAGGGGAGGTTGGGAAGAGTGGGAGCCCACAGCTCGCAGCCCTTCCCTTCTCTCCTCCACTCCTCGTGCAGATCCCGCAGGAAGGCGGGGAGAGCAGCCTGCACCAGCTCCTCGAGGCCTTCATCTCCGCAGGCAGGGTGGACCACGTCGCCATGGTCATGGGGCTGCACCCCCAGTACCTCAGCAGCTTCTGGAAGACCCAGTGCCTCCTGCTGCGCATGGACGGGCCCCTGCCCTACCACAAGCGCCACTACATCGCCATCATGGTGAGCAGCGGGGCCCTGGGGGTGCTGTGGGGACACAGGGGCTGCGGGGGGTCCCAGCACTGCTGCTCTGGGGGCATTTGGGACCCCAGAGATGGGCCCCTTTCTGATCTGACATCCCAAACCCCTTTGGGGCTGGTGCCCACCCAGGGTACCCCAACACTCTCCCTCCAGGCCCTCTGGAGCACTGGCACTGATAGTGAGGGGGGAAATCCCCCTGTCTGGAAGTCACATCCCCAGGGAAAACCCTCCAGGAGTGACGTGCCTTGGC